AAAGTTTCCTCCTGTCCTCTTTTGTGTGTGTGTGTGTGTGATAAGAACACTATCTATCCTTTCAGTAAAGCTTTTAGTATACAGTATTGTTAACTATAGACACTATGATGTACAGCAGTTCTCTAAGACTTATTCATCTTGCATAACTGAAACTTTATACTCTTTGACCATCACCTCCCCACTTCCCTTACCCACCAGCCCCTGGTAACCACTATTTGACTCTGCTTCTGTGAGTTTTAGATTCATCATATATATGGGATCATCTAGTATTTGCTCCTCTGTATCTGACTTATATAACTTATCATAATGTCCTTCAGGTCCATCCATATTGTTACAAATGACATAATTTCCTTCTTTTTAAAGGCTAAATAATACTCCACTGTATGTAAATGGCACATTTCCTTTCTCTATCATCTGTTGGTGGACATTTGGGTTGTTTACATGTCTTGGACATTGTGAATAATGCTGCAGTGAACATGGGAGTGCAAATCTCTTTGAGATCCTAAACAATATGCCACTAAAAAAACCAATGGGTCATTGAAAATATCAAAGAGGAGAAAAAAAAACACCTGGAGGAAAATGAACATGGAAACACAATGATCTAAAATCTATGGGTTGCAGCAAAAGCAGTTCTAAGAGGAAAGTTTATAGTGATAAAAGCCTACCTCAGGGAAAAAGAAAAACCTCAAATAAACAACCTACACTTATGCCTAAAGGAACCATAAAAAAGGAGAACAAGCAAAACCTACATCACAAATGAATTTTACCAAACATCTAAAGAAGAGTTAACACCTATCCTTCTCAAACTATTCTAAAAAGTTGCAGAGAGGAATGCTGCTGAACTCATTGTACAAGGCCATCATTACTCTCATACCAAAAACCAGACAAAGATACCAAAAAAAAAAAAAAAAAAAGAAAATTATAGGCCAATGGCACTGATGGATATAGATGCAAAGATCTTCAACAAAATACAAGCAAACTGAATTAAACAATACATTAAAGAACCATATACCATGATACAGTGAGATTTATCCCAGGGATGTAAGGATAGTTTAATATCTGCAAATCAGTCAACATGATACACCACAGTAACAAATTGAAGAAAAAAAATATGATCATCTCAATAAATGCAGAAAAAGATTTTGACAAAATTCAACTTATGACAAAATCTCTCAACAAAGTGAGTATAGAGGGAATGTAACTCACCACAATACAGGCCATATGTGACAAACCTACAGCCAACATCACACTCAACCGGGAAAAGTTGAAAGCATTTCCTCTAAGAGCAGTAACAAGACCATTATGCCTACTCTTGCCACTTTTATTCAACTATTGGAAGCCCTAGCACAGTAATCAGACAAGAAAAAGAAATAAAAGGCATGCAAATTGGAAGGGAAGAAGTAAAAGTGTCACCATTCGCAGATGACATGATACTATACATAGAACACCCTGAAGACTCCACCAAAAATCTATCAGAACTAATAAATGAATTAAATAAATTTATAGGATACAACATTAATATACATAAATCTGTAGCATTTTTATACACTAATAATGATCTGCCAGAAAGAGAAATTAAGAAAATCCCATTTGTAAGTGTAGCAAAAATAATAAAATACCTAGGAACATTTTTAACCAGGAAGTGAAAGACCTGTACTCTGAAAACTATAGAACATTAATGAAAGAAATTGAAGGTGACACAAGTAAAAAATATTCTGTATTTATGGATTGGAAGAATTAATGTTTATTTAGCCACACTATCCAAAGTGATCTACAGATCCAATACAATCTCTGTCAGAATACAATGGCATTTTTCACAGAACTAGAACAAATAAAATTTTGTATGGAACCACAAAAGATCCCAAATATCCAAAGCAATCTGGAGAAAGCAAACCAAAGCTGGAGGTATGATGCTCCCTGACTTCAGACTATACTACAAACCTAGAGTAATCAAAACAGCATAGTTCTGGCACAAAAACAGACACACAGATCAATGGAACAGAATAAAGAAAGAGGCCATAAAGAAACTCACCTATGGTCAATTAATCTATGACAAAGGAAGCAAAAATTTGCAATGGAGAAAAGACAGTGTCTTCAATAAGTGGTGCTGTAAAACTGTCACTGGAGCAACAAGATGTCTTCCAAAGTGTCTGTATCATTTTGCTTTCCCAACAGCCATGAGTAAGTGTTTCTGTTGCTCCATGTACATTTCACCAGTATTTGGTGGTGCTGTTGCTTTGAATTATATCCATTCCAACAGATATGTAGGTTGGGCTACTTATTTACTTATTAAAAAAATTTTTATTGACATATAATCGATTCACAATATTAGATTCAGGTGTACAGGATAGTGATTCAATATTTTTATAGATTATACTCCATTAAAAGTTATTACAAAATAATAGCTCTAATTCCCTATGCTGTACAATGTATATTTGTTGCTTATCTATTTTATACATAGTAGTTTGTATCTCTTAATTCCATACTCCTAACTTGCCCCTTCCACCATCCCTTTCCCCAGTGGTAACCATTAGTTTGTTTTCTATATCTGTGAGTCTGTTTCTGTTTTGCTATATACATTCATTTTATTTTTTAGATTCCACATATAAGTGATATCATACAGTATTTGTCTTTCTCTCTCTGACTTACTTCACTGAGCATAATATTCTCTAGATCTATCCATACTGATGAAAATGGCAGAATTTCATTTTTCTGGCTGAGTAATATTCCTTTATATATATATATAATTCCATTATATATAATATATATATAATATTATATATCCATTATATATAAAATATATAATGAATATTCTATATTTGTTATATGTAATTAATTAATTGTAATTATTAATTAATTATAATCATTAATATATAATGAATATATATATCAATCATATATCACATCTTATTTATCCATTTGTTTGTTGGTGGACACTTGGGTTGCTTCCATATTTTAGCTATTGTAAATAGTGCTGCTATGAACTTTGGGGTGCATGCATCTTCTCAAATTAGTGTTTTTGTTTTTTCCAAGTATATACCTGAGAGTAGAATTGCTGAATTGTATGATAGTTCTATTTTTAGTTTTTAGGACCCTCCATACTATTTTCCATAATGGCTGCATCAATTTACATTCTCACTAACAGTGTACAAGATTCCTTTTCTCCATAACCTTGCCAACATTTGTTATTTGTGGTCTTTTTGATGATGGCCATTCTGACTAGTGTGAGGTGATAGGCCATCCTTGTTTCGATTTTCATTTCTCTAGTAATTAGCAATGTTGAGCATCTTTTCTTGTGCTTGTTGGCCATCCTTTGGGAAAATGTCTACTCAGGTCTTCTGCCCATTTTCTGATTGGGTTGTTTGTCTTGTTTTATTTTTTTGATATTGAGTTGTACATGATTATCTCAATGGTCACAGAAAAAAAATTTGACAAAATTTAGCATCCATTCATGATAAAAGCTCTCATCAAAGTTGCTACAGGGGGAACATATCTCAAAATAATAAAGGCCATTTATGACAAACCCACAGCTAACGTCATACTCAGTGGTGAAAAGCCAAGAACATTTCCTCTAAATTCAGGAACAAGACAAGGGTTCCTGCTCTCAGCTTTTCTATTAATGTAGTATTGGAAGTCCTAGCCACAGCAATTAGACAAGGAAAAGAAATGAAAGACATCCAAATTGAAAGGGAAGAGGTAAAATTGTCACCATTTGCAGATGACATGATAGTCTATATAGAAAACCCTAAAGTCTCCACCAAAAAATTATTAAAACTAATAAATGAATTCAATAAAGTTGCAGAATTACAAGATTAATACACAGAAGTATGTTGCTTTTCTGTACACTAATAGTGATCTATCAGAGAGAGAATTTTAAAAATTCCATTTAAAATTGCATCAAAAAGAATAAAACACCTAAGAATAAACTTAACCAAGGAGGTGAAAGATCTGTACTCTGAAAACTGTGAAACATTGATGAAGGAAATGTCATTGAAGATGACACAAAGAAAAGAAAGATATCCCATACTCTTGGATTGAAAGAATTAATATTGTTAAAATGGTCATACTACCCAAAACAACCTATAGACTTAATGCAATCTCCACCAAAATTCTCATGACTTTTTTCACAGAACTAGTACAAATAATCCTAAAATTAAATGGAACCACAAAACCCCTGAATTTCTAAGGCAATATTGAGAAAGCAGAACAAAGCTGGTGGTGTCATGCTCCTTGACTTCAGACTACATCCACATCCCCTCCACAATTTCTGAGAGTTCCCGAGGCATTACTTTCTTTCTTATGGTTCCCCCTGCTCTGTCTGGCTCTTGGGCTGTTTCCACCTTCCCTTGAAGCAACCCAGACACAAAACTCAGGTTCTTCAGGGTTTTCACAAGAAAGAAGGCCCACCCCCAAGGATTCTGTGAGTTTGGTAACTTAATGGAGAGTGATGCTATAGCAATATTCATTACTTCCTGACTAGATCTCTTCTCTCCCTTTTTTCCCTTAACTCCCTTTATGGTGTTAAAAAAAAAAAGTTCCCTTCTTTGTCTCTTTGTGTAGCTGTTTTACATCCTTCTCTGGGCTTTTGGGGTTGCCAGTATGCATATCCCATATAGATACACCTATTGAAAGTTCACTGTCAAGGCATACTGACCACTTAAGTATCTGTCCCTAAGATAGAATTTTCTTCTATCAACTGCTAAGAAACTACAATTTATATTGTCACATTGTATGTAGCCATTTTCACACAAATATTGTTTTTTCTGGGTAGTAAGTTCCCCAAGGATGAGAACTGATTCTTCATCATTCTGATCTTCGTAGTCCCTGCTTGAGAAGTGGTGGCCAATAAATTTTTATTGAAGAAATGAATGAGTGAATGCTTGCACTATATATGACATCAGTCTCTTTTAAAAAGAAGCAAATGTATTTCTTTCAACTAGGCATTCTTGAATTTTAAGCAATTAATCCATTTTCTGTACAAGTGGAAACACAGACCATAGTTTCCTTGCCCAGCATATAACATTTATTAAGAAATGACAGAAGATACTGTATCACAGATTCTAATTGAAATAGCCGACAGGCATGATCCTTATGATCCAAAAAAAGGGAGATGGAATCAGAAGTTGAAATATGGATGAGTCTAGGCTCCTTCTTAGAGGCTGAATGTTGGGTGAAGAGCTTCTATTTCTTGCTGGTGATGTCTGAAGATGTTATGTGGCTATACTCTGTTGCTTTTGATGATGGAAAAAATTTTCAGGTAAAAAGAAGTTAAAAATAGATCATAAAGCAGGGGGAATTAGACTTGTGGACAGTTCACAAGGATAAACTCCACACTATGTCAGCAATTTTGAACCTGGCAAGAAAGTCAGAAATAGTATATCCAGAGCAATTTGATGATCAGCAGGTGGGTTTGCAACATTTCTGTGTCCACAGTGGAAAGTCAAGATATTCACTGCAGGATGAAATCAGATAAAACTCATACATTTGGTAGCTCCCATAACAAAAGTCCAAATGGATGTTTAAGAACTTTCACTGTGGTCCATGGGTGGTTGAGGGGATAAATTGTTCAGAGATGCTGTATCCTGAGCAACTGAAAATGAGTAACCTGGTTTTTAGCAGGTGGGCTCGCAGCAGGTGGGCTCACAGCAGAAGCAGCAGGCTGGACGGCAGCAGGACTGTCCACAGTAGGATGGGCGGCAGCAGGAGGCCTGGGCGAGGTACAGCTGGCAGCAGGTTGGTGGGGTGCAGCTCACCACGCAGCAGGGAGGCAGGCAGGTGCCCTCCACGCGGCAGTCAGGGTGGCACCACCTGGTGCGGCAGCTCAGAGCTCCGCTGCCACCCTCCTGGCCACAGCCAATGCTACCACCAATGCCACAGCCAGTCTCACAGCTGCTGGTCTGGCGGCAAGTTGGCTGGCAGCAGCTGGTCTGGCAGCAGGTTGGCTGGCAGCAAGTTGGCTGGCAGCAGCTGGTCTGGGAGCAGGTTGGCTGGCTGCAGCTGGTCTGGGAGCAGGTTGGCTGGCAGCAGCTGGAGCCACAGTTCCCACCAGTAGAACAGATGGGAAATCCGTTGAAGCTGGTGGAACAGCAGGCCATGGTATCAAGAGTTGGGCTGAGAGTTGGAATGCTTGGAGGACTTTTGATGGTGACTTCTGTGTCAGGCCTTTTATATGTCTGGGCCAGCTGCTATTTGTAAAATTCTTAGCATATCTTCCTTGTTTTTATTTAAATTTGTTCCTCAGTGGTCCTCTGATTGGCTTACATTAAAATACTTACAATACACTATGAGCAACAGTTTAGAAATTACTTTGTTTTTATAGTTTCATTGGGATTCGTCATATCGGTCCTTTACTCTTTGGAATAAGCTTGTGGTTTCCCATGTTCAAAGAGACCTCCCATTTTAGTCCACGTCAATACCCCTGTTTTGTAGAGGTAGTTATTCCAGGTGACACTCTGTCCAGATCGCTAAGGCTAAGAGTAACTGTGCTTTTATTTTTAACTATTATTTTTTCCTTCTGGATATATAGATTGAATTCTCTTGAATTTGGGACATCAGGACATACACTGATCTAAAAGTTACCTTTGGTCATGCATCATTAAAAGCTTCCAACTTATGTATTCCAACATCAAATTAAATTACCATCATAGTTCCTTTGATTTCAACCAATTTGAAATGTGTAAATATTTATTCATGTTCCAGGCCAGAAATATTTTCTTGTCAACCAAAGGATGTAGTATATATATAAAGATATCCAGCACAGTGCTTAGCTTCTGGTAGAACCTTAGTAAATGTTTATCGAATCTGATTTTGAATGGGTGAAGTAAAAAGCATGATTCACAGATGCCTGTACCACTTATAAATGATTAAATAGAGTTTTCAAGCTGTTGTGCCTCTAATGAAGGAGTCCTTATTATTGTCAGAAGAGAATAGGAAATGCTGAAATTATTTTTACATTTAATAGTCAAACTAAGGCTCGGGAAAAAATATCCACAAGTGATGATATTTTAAAGACTGCACCGCCATCAACTTTATTCTTTTGTGTGTGATCTACCACTGCTACCAATTAAATGATAGAGGTAAGTGCTGGGAGTTTGTAAATATCTCAAAAAATACTTTTCTAAAAGTGTCCTATGTTTTGTTCTATTGTGTCTTGTATATTGTGCTCAAATACTTATTGGAGAATTGAAAAATTAAATGGTAAAGGGTATTTTTGGTTCAAATTGGGTTGCAAAGTGTAAAATACATAGTTGCTTCAGATTTTTGATGCACGTGTCTGACAAAAGGTGATGGTGGAACTCACTAGGAATCTCCATAGCTGTTTGTTCTACTCTCATTTAGACCATAGAATATCTTTTTTTAACTTTTTTAAATTGAATTATAGTCATTTTACAATGTTGTGTCAAATTCCAGTATAGAGCACAATTTTTCAGTTATACATGAACATACATACATTCATTGTCACATTCTCTTTCGCTGTGAATTTAGACCATAGATACATCTTATAAAAACTTACAGTAAATGGAGGTGAGTGTTAAGAGTTGAAACTTAGAGAGCAATCTGGGGATCAGTGGGAAGAATATAGTAGACTAAGTTATAGGAATTAAACCTAAATGTTCTTAGAAAATAGGTAGTATCCGATAGACCGTAACTGGTAAATATTTTAAAATCTAGTCAGTAGGTAATACAATTTCTTTAGAGATGGAGTTTGCATGAAGAGGAACATCTAGTATATTAAGTGGAAGAAGCTTCAAAATGGTAGAAGTTCATCCAGGTAGAAATCCCATTGCTTTGATCAACCTGAAAATTTTAGGTAGAAACGGCTTTATTGGTTTAGACCTAATCATAATAGATTAGACCGGGTAAGTATCTGAGTAATTGTAAAGATTATTGAATGCATGGAACATTTTATTAACGGGTGGATTCAAGCATAATGTAATTTATATTTAATCATTCTGGTTTGGACTTTCTGTTTATGCCTTAGCAATATTATCAAAATGCAAATTAGCTCTTTCTGAATTCCAGCTAAAGGTGGACAAGCTTGAAGGTAGAAGGAAGAAAATAACTCAGTTTGCTTTGCACATTTAAACATTTTATTTGACATTAGCAGAGGCTATGCAGGGAGAAAGGAGGTTTGAAAGTATGTGGGGGTCAAGAGACAGGAAGGAGACCAGAGATGCCACTTAAATGAAGAATTACTCCACTCTGGGGCCCTGCTCAAGCAAGGCAGGATATCCAGATACTGTGGCCAATGCATGTTTTCAGTTGCTAATTCAAAACATCCAAGAGGGTCCTAAGGCTTTCATTTCTGAGTGGCTTAGAAATAGCATGATACTTAGCATCCAGGTAAAATTGAACACTCCTTCAGAGATCTGCATAATTTAGCTCTGCTTCCCCTTTCATTCTTAAGTAATCAGCAACCTTGCTTTTAACAGGTGGGTTCACAGCAGGTGGGCTCACAGCAGAGGCAGCAGGCTGGGCGGCAGCAGGACTGTCCACAGTAGGATGGGCGGCAGCAGGAGGCCTGGGCGAGGTACAGCTGGCAGCAGGTTGGTGGGGTGCAGCTCACCACACAGCAGGGAGGCAGGCAGGTGCCCTCCACGCGGCAGTCAGGGCGGCACCACCTGGTGCGGCAGCTCAGAGCTCCGCTGCCACCCTCCTGGCCACAGCCAATGCTACCACCAATGCCACAGCCAGTCTCACAGCTGCTGGTCTGGCAGCAAGTTGGCTGGCAGCAGCTGGTCTGGGAGCAGGTTGGCTGGCCGCAAGTTGGCTGGCAGCAGCTGGTCTGGGAGCAGGTTGGCTGGCAGCAGCTGGAGCCACAGTTCCCACCAGTAGAACAGATGGGAAATCCGTTGAAGCTGGTGGAACAGCAGGCCATGGTATCAAGAGTTGGGCTGAGAGTTGGTTTGTTAAGAGAAGTTTCTGAGTTTTGGCTTCACCTTCTACATCTGGCCTTTTATATATATGGCAGAGCCAGGTATTTGCTAACATTTAGCATGTTTCCTTGATAGCATTGCAAAGTCAGTCTCTGATTGGCTAATACTTGAGTTGTTTGGAAAGTTATAAATAGCATTTTCAATAGCCTGCTTTGGTCATTATTCAATTAAATCTCATTATGTTTCTTCTTTGCTCTTTGGATCAAGTGAAGACTCATTATGAAAGCCAATCACATCAGCACCTCTTTCTGCAAGTCACATGACAGACTAGGCTCAGGCCAACCATTACCCTGGCTTACTTTGTCATAGATGTCCTTTGATAACCTTTAGGCAGAGTTTATCTAAACTGAACATTCTCTTCCTAAGTGGTCACTCAGTTAAGGATCATGATTTGTAAACAATTTGTCCAGACTTGAAATGACTACCATTAGTGTCATCAAAACATGAGCTATCACCTGACTCATCAACATCAAAAGAAGTACGCCCTCCTATGTTCCGTTTGTGCAAGTTACAGGATCCTCAGAGTTCTTAGGAGTATTTTTGCCTTCAGTCATCAATGTACATATTTCCAGTTGAAACCCTTAATGACTTTTGCTTGTAGATTGTTTTCTGACTCGACTACAATCTGTACATTGACATCCATCAGTGAACTTGGGTTGTTTCCAACTTTTCGCTATTGTAATTAATCCTGCCAGGAACATAGATGTACAAATATCTCTTCAAGATCATGCTTTCAGTTCTTTTGGGTATATACCTAGGAGTAGAATTGCTGAATCACGTGTAATTCTATTTTTTATTTTTTCAGTAACAGCCATACTGTTCCCCATAGTGTATGTATCATTTACATTCCCACCAAGAATGCACAGAGGTTACAGTTTCTCCATTTCCTTGCCAACACTTGTTGGGTTTTTTGAGAGTAGTCATTCTAATGGATGTGAGGTGGCATGTCACTGGTTTTTGTTTGCATTTTCCTAATGATCATGATACCTTCGTATGCTTGTTGGCCATTTGTATATTTTCTTTGTAGATATGTCCATTCATGTTCTTTGCCCAATTTTTAATTGTTTTGTTGTTGTTCTTGTTGTTAAGTTCTTTATGTATTCTGTATATTAACCCTTTATCAGATATATGATTTGCAAATATCTTCTCCCATTCTGTAGACTGCCTTTTCATTTTGTTGTCTCCTTTGATGCAGAGAAGCTTTTAATTTTGATGTACTTCAGTTTATCTTTTTTTTTCTTTTACTTTTGTTGCCTGTTCTTTTGGTGTCATATCCAAGAAATCATTATCAAATCCAATATCATGAAACTTTTCCTCTATGTTTTCTTTTAAGAGTTTTATCATTTTAGCTCTTATGCTTAAGTCTTTGATCCATTTTAACTTTTGTAGATGTCTTAAGATAAAGGTCCAACTTCATTCTTTTGCATGTGGATATCCAGTTTTCCCAACACCATTTGTTGAAAAGACTGTCATTTCCTATTGAATGGTCTTGGCGCCCTAGTTGAAAATCTTTGACCATATATGTGAGGGTTATTTCTGGTCTCTGTATTCTATTCAATTTGTCTATATGTTTGCCTTTATGTCAGTACCATACTGTTTTGATTACTGTAGCTTTGTAGTATAGTTTGAAATCAGAAGTGTGATGTCTCCAGCTTTGTTCTTTTTTCTCAAGATTGCTTTGGCTATCCTGGGTCTTTTGTGGCTCCATACAAATTTTAGGATTGTTTGTTCTATCTCTGTGAAAAATATCATTGGATTTTTGGTAAGGATTGCCTTGAATCTGCAGATCACTGTGGGTAGTATGGACATTTTAACAATATTAATTCTTCCAGCCATGAGCATGGAATACCTTTCATTTATTTATGTCTTCAATTTCTTTCATCAAAGTCTTACTGCTTTCAGTGTACAAATCTTTCACCTCCTTGATTAACTTTATTCTTAAGTATTTTTTTTGATGCTATTGTAAATGAGATGTTTCTTTAATTTCTCTTTCTGATAGATTGTTGTTAGTGTATAGAAATGCTATTGATTTTATATATTGATTTTTATCCTGCAGCTTTACTAAATTCATTGTTAGTTGTAACAGTTTTTGTTTTTGGGTTTTTTTTTTTTTTGGTGGAGTCTAGGGTTTTCTATATATAATATGTCATTTGCAAATAGACAATTTTACTTCTTTCTTTCTTACGTAGATAACTTTTACTTCTTTTTCTTGCCTAATTACTCTGGCTTAGACATTCAGTACTATGATAAATAGAATAGGTAAATGTGAGCATCTTTTTCTTGTTCCTGATCAATAGGAAAAGTTTCAGTCTTTCACTGTTGAGTATGATGTTAGTGTGGGCTTTTCATATATGGCTTTTATTATGCTGAGATAGTTTCTGCATCTATTGAGATAACCAAGTGTTTCCTTCCTTCATTCAGTTATGTGATGTATTACATTGATTAGTTTTCATATGTTAAACCATTCTTGCATTCTAGGATAAACTTCCATTTAGTCATGGTATATAATCCTTTTAAACATACTGTTGAGTTCTGTTTGATAATATTTTGTTGAGAATTTTAAAATCAATATTCATCAGGGATATTGGTCTATAATTTTGCTTTCTTGTAGTGTCTGTCTGGCTTTGGTATCAGAGTAAATCTAACCTTGTAGAATGAGTTTGGAAAAATTCCTTCATCTTCAGTATTTTTTTTTTTTGAAGAGCCTGAGGAGGACTGGTGTTACTTTGTCTTTAAATATTTGATAGAATTCACCAGTGAAACCTTCTAGTACTGGGATTTTTGTTGTTGTTGTTGTCGTTGTCGTTGTTGGAATGTTTTATTACTGATTCCATCTCCTTGTTAATTATAGATCTGTTCAGATTTTCTATTTCTTTATGATTCCGTTTCAGTAAGTTGAGTGTCTCTAGGCATTTATCAGTTTCATCTAAGCTATCCAGTTTGTCAGCCTATCCTATGCATATTACTCATTCTTTTAAATAGCTGTGTAGTATTCCAGAGTATGATCATACCACACTTGATTCAATCATCCTCCTATTGATGAAACCCTCAAATGTTTTAGTTTGTGCTTTTGGATTTAAGAAAACCAGAGAATTTTAAGCTGAAAGGGACTCTTTAAAAGGGCCCAGCTTTAGGTGATTGTGAATGGTCATGTGATGTAGGGGACTGAACTCTCAAAGGAGAGCTAATTAAGTTAATTAAACTAAATAGGCTTCTCAAACTAGGTCTACTTTTAAGTGACTGTGTGACCTCAGAAAAGTCACTTAATCCCCTCTGAACACCCGTTTATTCATTGTAAAATGAGATGATCTCTCAGACACGTTTGGAGCTAAAATCCTGTAATTGCCCTACCAGGTCTTTCATTCCTTAAGGACATGATCTGCCCATGTCTGTTCACATTGATGGCCTACATAGTGCTTTCTGTACCATCTTATGTGTAGTTGCTCAGTAAATGCTCATTGAATAAAAGAGAGAATGAATGATTAGCAGTATATGGTAATAATGAATAGGCCAATTTGCATTTTACTAAAGTCACATGTTATTTTATTATTTTTTTTCTCAGCAGGAGCTATTAAGGGGCAATACCTAAAAGTATCAGTAGTTAGAATCAAAGGGGCAAGAGGACAAAATGTGTCTCTACTTCTGTTCTGTTTTTCAAGGATGTTTTCTGGATTAGATCAAATCTCTCGATATGCTAGGGAAAATGATTCTTTGCTTATGTGTTACCCTTTACTCATGCCCTCTACTTTCTTGATTTTCATTAACCCTTGAATGAATAAAGCATTGTAATTTTAGCCAATGTGATATTCTTAATAAAGAAGAGTACTTTCAGTCTCCTCCAGCTCTAAGTACAAGAAACTATGATTAATCTTGATTCTTGTCCCCAAAAATCACCCATATTTAGGAAACTTCCCCTTCTTCTCCCCTACTTGTGCTTAAAGGTACCAAAATCCATTGTATATCTGTATTACATATAAATGCATGTATATGTATAATAAGTATGCATGTATTTCTGTTAAGATTTTAACCCAAAGTAGACACGTTGATTCTAAAACTAGGACAAAATAGCTATTATTCTCACTTCAGTTTAGAAGCCGGGGGAAATGTTTTTGGTGTAAAAACCTCCATCTAAGTGAAAGTATATTTCCTCAGTGAGCCTTTCCCAACTTACGGTTCACTTGCTTTACTCTGTAAGATGACATGTAAGAGGATGATTTATTGGTGTGCATTACCACTGTTTGAAGATTGCCTGGAAGAGAATATTCCTCTTACAGACATGACAAAATAAGTCATATTCTGGCTCTAGATACAGAGGTCTTGACATCTGTAACTTCCTGGTTATGAAAACACTGTGTAAAGTAGGGGTACAGCAGTACAGCCCATGCCAACTGGAGGCCTGTGTAACCACCTCTGCTGTATCTTTTTATGGGGATTAACCTCCCCTGGATTTGATCATGTTTCCTAACACGGTATAAGAATCACAGTGTGGGATATCAAAACCAGATTAGAATCTTACTGTGTGACTTCCTCCAAAATATACATCATGAGCAGACTCAAAGAAGAAAAAGAGACATGTCTGCTGTACCAAAGATAGAGTTTATTAAACCTCGGTATATTGTTCCCCTATCATAGGAAATGCAGTTTGCAAGATGGTGGAGTTTAGGAGATGAATGTTTCTGAGAAGGACAGATGGTTCTGCCACAGCCTTGGAAGCACTGGGCCGTGGAGAAGATGCTTGCTGAAGGCTGATCCTGAGGCAAATTGGTTTTCACATTTCTTAGGTCAAACTTATATCTTGGCAGCTTCAGTGGAGCGCTCAAGATCTTTTTAGCATTGAATGGAATCAGACAGGTCTGTGAGGCCCAAATATTTGGTAAACCTTCAAAAAAGAGTCGAATAAAAATTCAAGAACTTGTTAGTGGCCCAGGGGTGATTGAGGAGATTATTAGTTCATGGACTGAGCTGGAAGTTGAAATTTCAAGTTGAAAATCAGAAACCTGACTTTTAGCAGGTGGGCTCTCAGCAGGTGGGCTCACAGCAGGTGGGCTCACAGCAGAGGCAGCAGGCTGGGCGGCAGCAGGACTGTCCACAGTAGGATGGGCGGCAGCAGGAGGCCTGGGCGAGGTACAGCTGGCAGCAGGTTGGTGGGGTGCAGCTCACCACGCAGCAGGGAGGCAGGCAGGTGCCCTCCACGCGGCAGTCAGGGCGGCACCACCTGGTGCGGCAGCTCAGAGCTCCGCTGCCACCCTCCTGGCCACAGCCAATGCTACCACCAATGCCACAGCCAGTCTCACAGCTGCTGGTCTGGCAGCAGGTTGGCTGGCAGCAGCTGGTCTGGCAGCAGCTGGAGCCACAGTTCCCACCAGTAGAACAGATGGGAAATCCGCTGAAGCTGGTGGAACAGCAGGCCATGGTATCAAGAGTTGGGCTGAGAGCTGGCTTGTTAAGAGGAGTTTCTGAGTTTTGGCTTCACCTTCTACATCTGGCCTTTTATAAGCCTTGACCAGCTATTATTTACATAATTCTTAAAGCCCCTTCCTTGTTTGTTTTAAAATAACTTGTCTCTGAATGGTCATTGGCCTATCCCTGAGTTACTTGTTCAACCTCTGAAAGCTTTTAAAAGTTAATTTTATTTGGCCTTCAATTAGGATTCTTCACCATGGTCAAGTAGTCATTAGCGTTCACTGGTTATATAACCCCTAATTCCACATATTTGTTAAAATTTGCTCATTGCCCCAAGAATAATTAACTGAAGCCTCACCTTTAAGGAGTGTCAATATGACTCAGTGTTGACCCTTGTAATTGAATTCTTGGGTCTCACATGACAGGTTAATTCCCACTAGCCAGAGCTGACTGCTGCTTTTCTCATCTTCACCTTGACTGTGAAGCTGGACAGAAGGGGATGCTTTCCTTAGGGCTAGAAAATGTGGGTGAATTGCTACTGATGATGTTTTTGGAGTACTTATTAAGTGTCCAAATGGTTCGGAGACTTTGCATGTATCAATTCATTTAATTTTCACAGCACTTCGATGGGGGAGGTACCACTGCTGTCCCATCATCAACAGGAGAAAACTGAGCCACAGATTAAAGTAATTTGTCCAAGTTCACACTAACAAGTGGTGAATCTGAAATTTGAACCCACGTCTTCTGACCTCAGACTAAACTCTTTTAACCAGATAGTCAGTTCCCTCTTTTCCATGTAAGCAGTTGTTTTAGGGAAAATCAACGGGTGAAAAACAAGATGTCACAATTTGCCCACTTTCTTAGAATTTTTTAGAGTGAAGGGAAGAAAGGCAGAGCTTAGGGTGAGTAATAACACCGGTGATTCAGTAGGGACTTCTCTGGAGACCTTGTTTTTTAAACTGCATATAAGCACACTTCAAGGAAATCTCAAGTGCTAAAAAATGTAACCTACTTAACTTGTGACTTCATCTGATCTTTGATCTCAGGATCTATAGATTTGGATGTTCTTAACTGCATAAAAAGTATACTTTTTTTTTAGAAAGTACACTCTTAGTATATTAATACTGGAGTATGTGATACTATCGTGCCTTAGAGCTCCAGTGTGTGGTTTATTCCAGACATTAGAGAGTAATTCAATTAACTGGAAAGTTTATATAAGCCCAGTGAGGCAACTGATGTGGGTGAGATTGAAGGTTTTGGCTAGGTACCATGAAAGGTGAACTAGCCTCCAGAGAGTATGGCCTCTTACAGGGAATGGAAGTCAAAATGCCACTTACAGGGTTTAAATCAGAACACCAAATGTTCATTGTGCCTCTCTGGAAATGACAGTTTTGAGTTTATGTCCTAACTCTTGCTGTGTCTGAATTAAGCATTTTCAAATCCCACATCGAATTTGGTATGTTTCTTTGTGAATATTTTGCTTCTTTTCCTTAAGCAACTCTACAACACAGATTCTTTGATTAGCTTTTTTTTTTCCACCTTGGATGTTTGAAATGTGTAGCTTTGTCATTATTATGATCTCAGGGGCTATTTACTTCATAGTGAAATTCAGCAGTAATCATTGATACTAAAAAGATTTTTCTCCCCTTGCAAAAAGTTCCAGTGTTTGAGGAATTGAAATGCATGTTGATTAGGGCACTGGAGATAGTAGCACTGCGTATCCCATTTCCACTTCTGTGCGTTTCTGCTGTGGCGACATCTCCCTCAGTGCAAAATTAAACTCAGTTTTCATGTTTCTGGTCTTTGGTTGCACTTAAAGAATTATTAATAGTAAGGTTTATTAGTCAGAATTTTCCAGAGAAACAGAAGTGATAGGATATATATGTATATACATATAGAGAAAGGGGTTTATTATGCAATTATGGAGGCTGAGAAGCCCTGTGACCTGCTGTCTAAAAGCTGAAGACCCAGGAAAACCAATGGTGTAGTTCTAGTACAAACTTGAAGGCCTGAGAACCTGGGGAGCCAATGGTGTGAGTTCTAATCCAAGTCCAGAGGCCCCAGAACCAGGGGTGTCATGCTCAAGAGCAAGAGGAGATGGATGTGCCAGCCTGAGCAAGAGAGAGAATTTGTCATTCCTCTGCTTTTGTGTTCTGCTCAGACCTCAGTGAATTGGACTGTGCCCACCCACATGCGTGAGGGTGATCTTTACTCAGTCCAAGGATTCAAATACTAGTCTCTTCCAGAAACTCCCTCACCAACACACCCAGAAATGTTTTACCAGCCATCTGAGGACCCCTCAGCAGTCAAGTTGATACATAAGATTAACCATCACAAGGTATGACACTTACATTTGAGGATTCTACTCCTCTGCCACAGAATGAAAGCTAATCTGAACATTTCCTTACCTCCTCTAAATAAATCAAGAGTAAAGTTTAACCAGAATCTCTCCTCCTACCACTTAAATCCACTTCTTGATTAATTGTCACACAAATAGAGTAAGAAGTTATAATCATTTATGATGTTTCCCTATGTAGATTTTCTATCTTGGATATCTCTATCTGCAGTCTTCTTTGGAGAAAAAAAATGCCAATACTTTTCCATTTAAAATGTTCTCTTAACTACTGTATTTATTTTCTTTGGGTTTCATTACTTCATTTAAGCAATGGGTGTGCAGACCATACCAGAACCATAAAATGTGTTTTTCTGTTATTCTTGAATGTTTACCTTCTGTTCACAGACATTAATGTTTTGAGTTATTTTTCCTTAAGAGTTCAGGGTTCCAGTTTTCTAATTATGAGTTTAGGGGAATCTTCCAATTTCTTAAACTCCATTTTACCAGTTTTCTAATTCAGTTGCATCTGCCTCACTTAGATTCCTGAGAGATAAGACATAGTTGAAGTACCAATCAAATGACAGACCATTCCTACCCAGGGCTTCTGTGCTTCTGTTCTGGGCTCCCATCCTAGTGACAAAGGCTGGATAACTTCTAAACTTCAAGGACCTCATCTCATCCTCAACTTTTTATCCTAAGCCAACTAAAAAGATCCTTCTCTTCTCTCCTGAATGCCAATCAGCTCTTTTTGGTGCTTCTGAGCTGAACCCCTTCTAAGTAAAAGGTGCAAGCAATTTAAGTCTTCCCAACCTAATGGGAGATGACAGAATGATATGAGTGGGTAGAGTGTTGACCAAGTTTTGGAGCTGTTGTGTGTGAATGTGTAGATTGTGCCCTGATGGGAGACTCTGTCCACTCAGAGGAAGGAAAATCTGTCTTTACACAAAGAGCTATAGTCTCAACTAGTGGTGTGTTCCTCTGCTGTGTCTACCCAAAGGTGGTGCCTTTGTCCAATTCTTGAAAGTCGTGCTAATGGAGACCCAACCCTTTGCTTAACGGTTTAAAAAGTTGAGGTGAAATTCACATAATATACAATAAACCATTTTTTAAACATTTTTTCTTGACTTATAGTCATTTTACAATGTTTTG